TCTGTTGTGCCTTTATTTTTCCATGTAAAAGCAACTGCTGTAAGCTTTCTTTCTCTTTTACTATTTTTTTTAAAATTTCTGTCTGAAAAAAAACACTTTTCATTGCCCAGCTGTCATTTCTGGATGCAGTCTGTGATCCAGGTATTTCAAGAACCAATTACCTCAAACCTCATGTTAAACAGTATTGCTATCTGGATTCTCCTTGACACTACAATATTTTAACATACACAAACAGGAACCTTGCTCTATATGGGTGTTTATATATATGTATCATATACATACATACATGTATATATATGATATATATATGTAAATGGAAAGTGATCCCCAAGGACTGAAGGAAAAAAGCAAAACTTATTTTGTATTCCAACATTGAAACCAAAAGGGCTTTTTTGAAGCTCTATAATGGCATTGTGCTGGATATCTAGAATGAAGAAGTGTTTTCTGCAAAGTGCTTCCTTGATTAGCCTTTTATTTCAGTATTTTAATGGGGCAGATGATGTGAATAAAACACCTCTTCTGCATTTTTTGGTCCATTTTGAAGCAGAAGCCTCTTAATCTTTCCAGTTATTAAAAAACCCTTGAAAACTCAGTTTATAACATTCCAATAAGGTTGGTATTGCAAAACTCAAACATGTTCTAGGAAAATTTCATAGCTTGTGTTTTTGTGACAATGAAGGCCATACTTCATTCATTTGTCCAGTGTTTTGAGGAACTGAAATTTAACCAGTAACCATCGTAGTCAATTAAAATCCTAATTCAGTAGTCACTGGCATCTCTGCATTGCCACCTCTGTTAAGACACCAAAATAAACTCCAAAAACAATTGAAACCAAAAATCCAAGCATGACAGAGGAGGAGGAGATTGGAGCATTTCATAGCTTTGGAAAGTGGACTTAGCAACTTTTTAGATAACAAAAAATATGTTGGCAAGAGCTAGAACCTGTCTGCCCCTTTCATTTTCCAAATACCTACTCCCAAGCACCAACACATAAAATCAGACCTTCAACTACAGCAACTTCTTAAAGACAATTATGTTCAGGCTATATTTTGGGGAGAAAAATAAAAGTTGGACTGTTTTTTAAATTACCATTTTATTTTATGTGTTCCCCTCCAAAATGTCTGTTTTTTTAAAAAAATGTATCCATGCAGTTGGTACAATATTAGTCTGTATTTTACTTGGACAGCATAGTAGCTTTCCTGTCTAAATACTAATTAATTTGTTATTACTAGTAATCCATTTAATTACTGGTAATGAATGGATAGTAATTAATTTATTACTATTAAAGGAAGAGAAAAAGATATTTCCCTTTCTCCATTTTTTTCTTGACTGCCTAATGTTTCTATGGCTATTGATGGTTGATGATTATTATCTTTGGTAAATCAAAGTACTAAAATCTCCCAGAAGGAGGTATTTTGCAATACTGCTGGCCTTCCAATGGAACAACTGTGATGCAAACATCAATCTCGTAGTGGATGAGGATTGAAAGAAGTGGTTACTGCAAACTAAGTAACATTTTTGGCCTCAATTCTATGCCATAAGCCCGCACAATGCCATTGTCAATCTGTTCTATCTGCTTATGAATCTGCATGATCCTCATGATAGAGTTGAAAGCCTGATCTTTCACCTGTTAATATTTTCACATTTGTCCTTAAGTTTGACAAATTTTGTACTGTAAAGTTGACTTAAGTACAGTTTGATGTCAATTCTTGTGGAAAGAGCTTTCTGCATGTAACATTAGATGCATACAGTTAAACAACACAGCATAGTACAAAAACTCACAAGAAAATGTTTTGGCACCAGCAGGAAGAAATCTCACCCTAACCATTTGTCATTTTTAAAACCATCCTATTGTAAGTTTTACCAGCTACTTCTAAATTTGTGCTTTATTTAAAGAAATAAAATAAAAATCCTAAGACTTGTCTAGCGTAGTGAAATATGTGTATATCAGTTTTAGGATAAATAGCTAAGTCTTATTACGCTGTGTTACTTAACTTGTATATATAGAGTATACATAAGAGTTTGCAGTAACCTGTTTCTCCAGGATTTCCAGTTGGAATGGATTTAAACTCGAACTATGAGATTAAATGATTTAGAAGATTGCAGAATAAACTAAGTGTAAATTACAGGAAGCTCTATCAGATGGTGAAATAATTTTTAAAGAGTCTTTTGGTCCTTGGCTCAAATTCACTAAGTACTGTTTGTATACCAAGATATGTGAAATGTAAATGTTGTAGGTTATATTTCACTCTTGTAGCTATAAAAATGTAGAACAGAGATAGCTTGTACTACTGAGTTAACAAAAGTTATACTAAAGTATCCTGTTAAAGAAAAAAGTATAGAGAGTTAAGCTCGTTGCTGTAACCCCTTTTGGATTGAAGTGTGCTGATTTTTTATATATGTACATTTTATATATATATATATTCTGCAGAAGTATACATATATAAAATGTATGTATAAAATGGCCTAATGCAGACATCCATTGTATTGCAGTTATGAAATGAAGACATTTTGGAAAGAACATTGTATCATAGTTCATGAATTTGCAGTGGATCTTTGTTCCTTTTTACTGTGGTATTTTAGAAATGAGTCTCAAGTTTGAAATTAGATCTGCCAAGTTGGAGTTTTGCTGCTTCAGCTTTGCACTGGGTGTCTGAATAAACCAGTATGAATGTAGTATTTGCCCTGTGTGAAGCAGCTACACCCCAACAGATAGGAGGAAAAAAACCTAGAAAGAACTATTTCAAGTTTATCTTTTTGTATATGAAAATAAACATTAAATTACAAATAACTGTTTCCCTTGTTGGTGTGACATTAAAACTCATTGTTATTTTATTGTCTTTGACATCTAGCTGGAGGATTTCCTTCTTTGTAGATGAATGTTTTTGGTGTTTCAATGGCATTTCTGCCGTTCAAAATCCCTAAAAAGTCCCTGCAGAGGCATAGCTGAGGCCTGCCTCTACTACCTATCACTTGCAAACAGTTCCAGAGAGAAGCGGGAGCTATCTCAAACTCACAGAATTGTAGAATGGTTAGGGTTGGAAGAGACTTTAAAGACCATCCAGTTCTAACTCTCCTGCTAAGAGACACCTTCCACTAAACCAGGTTGCTCCAAGCCCTATCCTGCCTGGCATTGAACATCTCCAGAGAGGGGACAGCCACAACATGTCTGGGCAACCTCTGTCCTACTATTATTATTATTATTATTAAACTGCTTAATATTAAATTGCCCTTTTGAGTGTGTTGCCCCTTGTACCACTGTGGTAACGCTGCTTATCACTTCTAGCAAAGAGCTGTTCACACAGGGCAATATGTGAATGTGAGGCTTTATCAAGACAGTCCAGCCACATAGCTGCAACTGCCAGAAGCCAAAGGCAAGGGAACTTGACCAAGAAAATGAAAAAAAAAAAACCAACAAAAACCAAAAGCCTGAGTTCCCTGTACTCATAGCACCACTCCCAGGTCTGTAATCCTCACATGAGGTGTGAAGATGCCCTCAGCCACACGTGAAGTATGGCCAGACCTCTCCAGGAAATCCACCTGCAGTAAAGTGATGGTGGGGCCACAAAATCCTTATATTCTGGTGTTTGCCAATGCTGAACTGATCCTTTCTTTCAGAAAATTGCCTCTGGCCTGGTGCTGGGTTGAAAATGCTTAGTATGGATGGATATGAAGCAAATATGGACATAAGCAGGCACTTGAGAGAGAAAAATAGTAAAAATCGGGCTGGTGGTTTTCCTGAAAAGAAGCCCATCTAACATCACCCTACAGGGACTAAAGCCAACCCCATACCACAATGTTTGTGTTCGGCCTGGAGAAGATACGGTTCTGGTGAGATCTTCTGATGACCTCCCAGTCCCTAAAGCGGTACTTGTAAGAAAGACGAGGGCAAACATTTTAACAGGGCCATCAGCCAAATACATATTCGTAAGCGATCATACATATTCAAACTTTTTCTTAAATATCCCTTGCCCCACCCAAAGTCTGCAAGGCGACGACTCTTTGCCGTCCGCCGGTGGGGACAGTTTTGGCACTCGGTTGAAGCTGAGGTGTTCCCACGCCAAGGCCCCGGCGAGGCTCCCGCCATGCCCGGCTGCCCCGCGCGAGGGGCGCTCTCCCTCCCTCCCTCCACACGGCGAGCAGGGTGGCAACGATACAAATAGGAGGAGAGAGGATTAAAGGGAGAACAAGAAGGGATCTAAAACCAACCTACACCAACGTAAAAAAGAACTTTAAACCTTAATAAAACTTCTCTTAACACACATTACATCCATTCCTCTTCTGCGAGAGCCAATCACCACACCACCCATCCCACCGCATAAGAGGGGCAGTTTAGCCACTACAGTCCCTGTAGTCCCCGTGAGGGAACTCACTTTATTTTTCCACTCTTTATTTTGCTCACTTTATTTCTAGCTATCGGTACAACCCCGCCGGGCTCATCCCCTCACGCGGTGTGCCCGCACTGAGGCGATGCTGCCATAGCTCCCTCAGGGCTGTGCCGAGCGGGGGCGCTGCGTGGCCGGGGCCGGGACCGCTCCCTCCCTTCCCTTCCCCTTCCCTTCCCTCCCCTTCCCTTCCCTCCCCTTCCCTTCNCGCTGCGAGCGGCGGCCCGGCGATGCGGGAGCGGCCGGCTCAGCGCGGCCCCGTGTCCAGCAGCCCCGCTCTCCACAGCCTCTTCTGTCCCTAAACTCTCTCCTCCCCCTCAGAAAAGCCTTTTCCCTCCTTCTCCCATTCCCGGAATGCCCAAATACTGCCGGGAGATCGTGGGGGTCCCCTGGGCCGAGCTGAGGTGGGGCGGAGGTTATTTGGGGATGCTGGGCTGTAGCTTGTAATTGAAAGCGCTTCCCTTTGCACCTGCTCACGGCAGAGTGTTGGTGGCAGGGGAAGAATGTATATTTAGTTTTAAACACACATTTCGAGTCAGACCATAACTAAATTTCAGCTGTTGCTGCCCTGGACGAGCCGATTCTCGTTTATCAAGTCTGGGGTCTGGTGGGATTCAGGTGTGGGGAGAGATGTTTGGGGCACTTGAGAGAGTGAATGGTTTTCTCCGCAGCCTCAAGGCTTTAAAAGTACCGGATTGTTGGAAAGCGGAGGAAGAATGGCTCTATAAACACGAGTTGCTGGTGGACAGATGGCTGGAGAATGAACAAGACAGTAAGATGGGAGTAAATATTCCTCAATGAGAAGAAGTTATTGCTTGGGAAAAAAATGAAAATTCAGTGCAGCTTTCATTCATTCATTTATTCAGCAGACTATAAGTGTTCCCAGTGAGGGAAAGACTTGCTTGTGCCCAGCTTGTAAATCTCAGTTTGTGAGGAATTTGATTTCCAGCTCCAAAGGGTGGAATATGTGTGTTGATCTCCTGTGTCTGTAACTCCTTGTTGCCTGATTTGTCCCTAAACATCTGAGAGCTTTTCTTTGGTAGAAAGAAAATACCTGATAGCTTTTCTTCTGCTTTCTGTAGGCATTGGAGTAGATAGATGAGTTATTCCTAGAGCTGAGATCCTCATGTTAAAACAGTGGCTGAGAACCTCAGCCATTTTGGCAGATGAGAATTTCACTGGATAACCATCTTAATATTTTTTAGGTCTTAATTGTGTCTGTAACCTTAAGTAATTCCGTATACAGTAGATTTACACTCCCTGAGGTTTGTTTGGGTTTTTTTTGTTTTTTTTTTTTTTTTCTTTTTTTTTACTCTTCAGTTTATGATCACATTTCATCTTTGGGTGGTTTTCTGTTTATTTTTTCCTTAGAACCAATAGAAGAGGCTCTGCTGGAAAGATATGGATTTCCTGAGGCTGGAACAGAGACCAGATGTTACACAAATCATGCACTGTCTTATGACCAGGCAAAACGGGTGCCTAGATGGGTGATTGAACACATTTCAAAACAAAAGATGCTGGGTAGGTAGGTGTTTATTTCCTTACATTTGTGATGCTCTGAATAGGCTTTGCTGCTTACACAAGGTGGACCCTGGTGCAGACAGGGGGAAAAGTCCTATAGTGATCTCTGGGAGAGAAGCTCAACTTGCCTTTTCATAACATGAATGTAAAGAAGATGAAACAATGAAAATTATCTTTTCCTTACTTGATTTGGATCTGCAGAGTTGTTTGAGTGCATTAAAATGGCTTCTGCTTCCTTAGTGGAGTTAGTTCTGAGGTCCAGTTTATGGCAGTGGAGTCAATGCCAGTGGTAGCCAGAACTTTTAATACACAGATCTTGGAGATTTGCTCAAAATGGTGGGAAAATACCCATTTCTGAGGTAAAAACTGAGCAGAGGGTATCAACAATTATTCAGAGCTAGATATTACATTACCTCCTCACTGCAGCCATTATTTACTCTGATACAGTTCTCATACTCTGCTGTTCTTTATGCAAGACAGAGGCACAGTGATTTTTTGCTGTCAGTGGTGAATGAAATATGAGTGGTATACAGTCATTGTAAATTAAATTTATAGCATTAGTTCAGTTTTTATAAGGCAGATTATAAGTAACGGAGGTAACCATGTAATTGTAAAGTGTTTTATGGAAGCAATAGCCCTTCAAATATGTCTTAATCGCTGTCTTAAAATTACCATTCAAAATTAAAAGCAAGATCCTGAAAACATTATGACCATCCCCTAAGTAGCATCATTGATCCCACTTCTTTCTGAGAAGAAAACAGTAATTTCAGGGTTACTTTCAAGTGGGCCATAACAGCTGAATTGTTAAAATGTTTTCCAAATAATCAGTTACAACCAACCTGCAAGCTGAAATTAATCATCTTGAGGCATTCAGTTCTGATTTATGTCTGTAACTACTGAAACTGAGATTTGAGGCAGACATATCTTGTTTGGGGAAGACTGAAAAGTCAGGATGCAAAATCCCATATATTTTATTGGTAAATAAGAACTTAAATATTTAAAACACATGTCAGAAAGAAATAAGCATTACCTATAAATGAGATAAACAGAATTCAGATTAATGTACTGAATCCTTAAGCATGGGTCATCTGGCAAGATATGACAGAATTAGATATTTTTGTCTTGTGATTATGATGGTTTCATGATAATCTGACCATTTAGTGTGCTGTTCTTCAGGTGATGCAGATCGAAGGCATTGTAAATTCAGACCAGACCCTAACATCCCTCTGATGTTCAGTGCTGTTAATGAAGACTACCTTGGCAGTGGATGGTCACGAGGACACATGGCACCAGCAGGAGATAACAAATTTTCAACAGTAGGACTTTTTTCTCCCATCTTTTTAATTTGTGTTTCTCAGTTGGAAAGGGTCAAAAGAGCTTTAGAAGTAATGTGCAATGTTCCTTTTGCAGTCTGTTTTGAGGTGGAACATGATGTCATTATTGATGCACAGAGCTGGATTTGGAGTTACAAGGTCTGTTCCTGACTGAGCAGTGTAGAATGCTCTCACAGTCTGCTTCAGGCATCTAAATCAGGTGCACGCTCTGATGACGTACCTTTCTTCATTAAATCACACCTACATCAGCTTGTTTGGCAGAGATGATGTCTTGAGCAGTGTGGTGTTAAGCAAGTCTTCTCAGCCTCTTGCATGTCACATTGTCTACCTGTAAAATGAAGATGATAACCTTCACCAAGAAACCCCAGAAAGTCTTCAAAGCTCAGTTAAAGGGAGACAGGGACAATGATGTCATCGTGGCCAACAGCTGCTGAGATATTTAAGGCTAGATTGGGCTAAGCAAAGATGCTGTTAAGTACTGTTCTGTATTGGCAAGGGGATTGCCTGGATGATTTAAAGAGCTTTTTCTTTTCTTGCAGCGTGTATGAGGTAAATTAGACCCTTTTGCCATGGTTCTTTCAGTCTATAAAATGTCTTCACCTGCCATTTATTCAAGCTGTAAGAGAAGCATGCCTTAATGCCTTGGCTGACTTACAAAGCAGCTTTGAATTTATTGGATCCTCTTGTGAAATGTGCCTAATGCAGCAATTTGTTAATTAAGAAGCAGTTTGAATTTGTATTTCTCTGGGCAGATAGTATTCAGTGGGGTGGAGTGACAGCACAGTGGCATGTGGTAAACGAAAGAATCAGTTTTATTTCTGTTGGAAGTGCCTTTGTTATTATTTATTTGTGACATCTGGGGAATTTTTGTTGGTGAGCTCCTGGGACCTGGCTTGAAATGCAGTGAGGTGATACAGTCTTTCAAATATAGGATTATAAGAATTGAATTCACAGTCTAATTAGTGGAGGTAGTGTTTGCTCATTATCCTAAGGAGTTCTGTCAGTCCCATCACTTTGCAATAGTAGTATGTAAAAAATACTGGCAGCTACAGGATCTGTGAAAAATCTGGATTAAGGTCTTGAAGTTTTTTCTCTCTGTATTTCCCTTGCATATTGTCTAATGTTTTAGCACCAACCAGGTCCTTCACCTCTGGAGGTATGGGAGCTTCTGTTCTGAGATGTTTATGGCACTTCTACAAGATGAAATTAAGCAGATATATGGATGTTTGACCATTATGGTCTCATAAATCATTTCACTGCCTGTACGTTATGTATGTGTAAAATATTGATGAGTATATCTAATAAAACTTTTTCTTGTAAGGGAAAGAAAAAGTTAGCCATTAAGCAGTCAAATAAATGAAAAGCATGCTTGAAAGTGCCCTTCCCATTCAAACTGAAAAATGAGTAGTTGCTTTCAAAGACATTACCAAACTGACACTGGGTGATAGTAATTTCTGTGCCTCTAGAATTGGACATTCTTGTGCTGTTTATGACAGGAAAAAAACAGTGGATAACTTTGCATGGTTTCACCTCAACTGTGCACCTTTTAATCCAAAATAATTTTGTAGGTATTCTGATTTAGGTTTTATTTAATTTTCTGTGTTAACAGATGTTTAAACTAAACTAGAAATGGGATTCTGATCCACAAACTGCTAAAATGTGTCTTCAGCTCATGAATGTTTCAGTGAAATGTCATTATTTTCTTTCTCTATGCAGAGAGCTATGGCTGAAACGTTTTATCTGTCTAACATTGTGCCTCAGAATTATGAAAATAATGCTGGATTTTGGAACAGGTGAGAAATTACTTGTAAGGAAACTAAGTGGAAAATAGCAGGCAGCAGCATAAATCAAAAATACTTTACTTTCAATGGTTCTTCACATCCAGGTGTTTAAGAGCAGTTTATCTGTAGAGGTCATAGGAGCTTTCTCTGAAATGGAGGGCAGCTCAAGTCATCTCAGTGAAGGAGCAGTATAACAACTACTTTAGTTCTTTATTCAGTCAAACCATTGAGGACTTCTATTTAAAACAGACAAAATTATGTCTTCTGTCTGATGTGGGGTAAAAGTACCAAGCTTAACTGTCCTTAAGGAAGTTCTGGCAGAAGCAAGGAGAGGGTTTAGATCTTCCTCAAAGAAGCACTTGCAGTGTGAGAGTATTCCCAGGTCTGTGTGTGGATGTTGGTTCCCTTTGAATCGGAGAACTGAGCGCTCCCCACTGAGCTGTCACTACTTCAGGTCTGAGGTGTTCCTTCAGGTCCTGGCTCCCAAAGAGCAGTCAGGCAGGATCTCTGTCACTTGCAAGTGCTGACTGGATCGACTTTGAGGTGGAGTGGTTGTTAAATTTAAACTTGCTTCATGTAAGATTTTTATTCTTCCCTTCCTTTGAGCAGAGAATATAGTAAAAGTAGCATTCATCTGGTGCTTCTTGCATAGGACTTACAGAATGTGAAGGCTCAGAAACAGGAGGGGAAAATGATAGATTTCTCAAGGTTCACTCAAGGGAAGGTCAGCAAAATTATATACAGTGTTGTAATAAATGTCCATCAAAACTGCATCATCACTCATTTGCGCACTGCTTTCCTGTTTTACAAGAATGTGTGTAAAATCAGATGAGCCATTCAGTAAGGTTTTATAGACAAATAAAATGCCATAACATTTTAAGAGGGTTTTTTTCTTATTTTAATAACTCAAGTGTTTGAGCATAAATTTTCCTTATACCAAAACCAGGCATTTGTACCAATTGAAGGCAGGGAAATCCTCTCTGTTTCCCTTAAGCAGGATCCCTGCCTAATCAGGAAATCATAGGAAGTGTTTGAAAATTTCCTCTGGCACTATCAGCCCTGAAGTTTAAGCAATTATTACCACTTTTTCCCAACCCCAGCACCCTGTTCCCAGATTTTAAAGGCATGAAAAAGGCAGTGATGCCACTTTTTTTGTCAATCATTTCTTTAATAATAAATATTTTTAGGGATACCATATTTCTCATGTGTTAATCCTTTCCTAGATTCAATATTCTCTTCCTTTCTCTTGCTTTAATTCCTTGCTTCTTGACTTGTCATCTGAAGTGCAGGTAGACAATGCAGTTTAGTCAGTATAAGTGTCTGTTGTTTTCTAAAGTGGTGTTTGCCCTCCTGCTTTGTGTTTTTGCTGGTTTCCCAGTTCCAGCTCTGCTAGTAGCCTGACTTTGGTGAGTCAGTTTCATTTGCCAGCCAGATTAGAAAATTGGATCAACTCACGAGATGAGTTCTAGAACCAGCATGGAAGGTGGATTAAGGAGTGGTCAGCTGTGACAGACAAGGGGAACTGTAGGAAAAGGAAGGGCAGGACTATAATCATCCAGCAAGCTGTTAATAGCAAACTGCTGGACTGGCACCATGGTGTGCTCTAACTCCACCTTAGTATTCTTCATTCTCTTCCAACTGCTATTTAACTCTTTTCTGTCTCGTTTTGAGTGTGAGTTCATGTTCACTGCAAATCTCTGCCCCTCCTGCCACCAAAAGCAGTTTCCTCCCTAGCTGCATTTATTCCCATTTCTTCCAGGTGGTGTTTGTATTGCCCTGCCATGAGACAGCCTGAGGAGCTGGGCTGCTTGGAAGCAAACCTGGTGGCTAGGAAAAGAATTCACTTGTAGTCAATGCTTTGGTGTATCTTCATGAAGAAAGGGCTCATTCTTGCTCATTCTCATTTGTGTGGCTCCTTCTGTTAATACACCTCAGTACCCAACAAAATATTTTGGTGCTCAGTACCCAGCACCAAGAAAAATACTGGTTTTATTTAGGGATGTTGACAAATAAAGAATGCTCAAGTGGCCCAAAGGGGAGCTGTGACAAGAAAGAGAGAAGGTGATGAAACCTCCCCATTTCAAAGGCAGCCAGATTAGCTGTTTAGATAATCTGTTTGACACTACTCCATCCATTTGTGTGAAGGGCAGCTCTTACCTTTGTAGAGGACCAATGCTTACTCACTGTATGTGATTTCTGTAACAGTTGGAGTGTTAAATCAAAGATATGCTGTAATCATAGAATTACTTGGATTGGAAGGGACCTTAAATATCACCTAGTTCCAACCCCCCTGCCATGGACAGGGACACCTTCCCCTAGATCACATTGCTCAAAGCCCCATCCAACCTGGCCTTATTAATCTTTTGTTTTCTGTAAAATAGGTGTGATCCAGAAACCTTCTTATTTGAGAAATAATATATGCTGTAAACTGAATCAGTTTAAACAGCAAAAATATGGTAGCATTTCTGGAGTTACTGCTTTATTTTTGAACAGTTTTCTATCTATTAAAAAAAAAAAAAAAAAGCAGAGTTAGTGGAAATGGCACACAGAAACTTTCCTCGGTACTTTGAACTACAGGAAGAACTGTGTTTCAGGACTTTGATTCCTTGGGGAGAAACACACAAATCCAATAATATGATAAAACTTTTCAAAGTGAAAATGCTTCAAATTGCTGTTTAGAACAATTCTATTTTTCTAATCCCAAGTGACCACCAACAGTATATTTCTAGTGTCAAGTGTGGGAGTAAGTAGAGAACTCAGCTATTTAGACGTGCTAAAGCTGCAGAAACCATTTTCAGATGTGTGCAGTAACACATGTCTGTAAATAAATGAACCTTATTTACAGGGGACAAATGGGAAGCAGGACTTGGGCCTACATTTTACTTTCTTTGACTTTGACTTTACTTCTTTGAATCACTCAGATGAATGTGGAAAAATGCTCCCTGTCAGTAGTTCACCCTTCCAATAGCAGTGTGTCTCAAAGAATAAATCTTTCCAGCTGACTTTTCTCTATCTGACAAATATGTTCCAGAATGGAAATGTACTGTCGGGAATTGACTGAGAGATTTGAAGATGTTTGGGTTGTTTCTGGACCTCTTACCTTGCCTCAAACAAATGGTGATGGAAAGAAGAGTGTTACTTACCAGGTATGTATATATGTTGCTGGGATAATAATGCAGTAGTAATTATTTATTTAAAGATGATATCATAATTTGATAAAACAAAAGTTGGGCATCTTAGTACTGGCAAAATATATAAAATGTGCAATACTTGTTGGGACAAGATTAGCAGAAATGTTACATCTTGCCCATACATGAAGAAGTATAATTTTAAAATAATTTGTTTATTTATAGAGATCTATTTCATATCCACAGTCAGCAGTAGAACTGTTCATCTAGTCAGAATCAGTGGGGTTTGTTAATGCACAGACATCTATTCAATCAATTTCTTCATGTGCTTTAGAAACAGTGGAATGCAGAGGTAGTATGGGTCTCTCCAAGCTCTTCAGGATATTGGAGTGCCAGTGCTCTCCAAGTTTCACAAGCAGTTGTTTGCTGCTACACCACAGGCATCACTTGGGTGAGGCCTTGCAGCTGAGATTCTGAGCATGTCAGAGTCACTTGCAAGACTTCACCCTAGTGCAGTGTAATCACTGGTCAATGGTGCTGATATTCCCCTTCATTTAGCCCCCTGTTTTTATTACCTGCTTAAAATACTCTGAAGATTTATCATGCACAGTCTGTAGAAACCATCACTGACAGACAGATGGGACAGGCTAAGAAGCTGAGAGGTGAATTTATTGTTGCTCTCCCAGAGTTATTCATAGTAGGCTTGTGTTTAGACATCTGTAAGGTTTGAGAATAGTAAGTTACTCAAGAGAGTTGCCTTCTGCCCCCACTGCAATGAGATTTATTTCTATTTGCAGTTGCAGATGAAAGCTGGCATAATGCAAATAATAAATGCTGCATTTTGCACCTCTTGAAAAAACACTTTTCCTTGAAAATAAGTAGTTGAATCAACTGCAGCTTCAGCTTATGAGCAATTCATCTTCCAACTAGTTCTCTGAGGAGCAATGAATGAACTTGCCAAAACAACCTCCTATTTCAGAGGGATGTGAGAGACCCAAAAGGGAGAGATGTTCATCTTTCAACACTGGCTTGTTTTGCAGTGAGAGTTAGGCATTATTTCTCCTTTGTAAATACAAAGGTGATTTCCATTTGATTGTACTTGCAGCTCAGTCATGATAGAATGTGATTTTTCCCATTTGCTTTTACCATTTTACTTCTTGAGAAACTGTCCCTTATGTCCCCAGCCACACACGTCAAACCTTGACTGTCACAAAATCACAGCTTTGGATTTGGGTTTCTTATTTTTTGGGGGAGTTAGGCATATGAAAGGGCAGTAGTAATAAGTTACCTTCTTCATGTTGGGTAGCAGTTCCAAACTTCAGCTCTCACCACATCTTTGTGAGGGAGGTGCAGACTGTGCTCATTTTTCAAGTGGATGAATAAGCCATGCTTTAGGGATATGACCAATGCCAGATGATAGATTAGTGGCAAAGCCAACTTTAGGTTGGCTGTCATCCTATGCCACCCACAGGTGCTTGCTTCACCATTGCTCCTTCCACATTCCAGAGTTTCTTTTGTCTGCCAGTGCTGATGACTGCCAGATCCTTCCACAAAATGCTTGATTACCCAGTGCAATAGCAAACAAGCCATCCTGGGTTTACTGGGTGTGTTTTGTACTGCTGTAGAAAGATTGAGGCAGCACACAGAGTAGTCCAGTGCTTCTCAGTGACAGCATGAGATCTGTCCAAAAGCACATAGCTGGGAGCAGGAGGGAGATGTTTCCTCTCAACAATCTTCAACTGAGCATTTGGCTTCCTGTCACTCAGAATGGTAGAGAGTTCTCCAGGCTTGCACACGGCTTGCTGGGATTTGCTTCCTTGTAGCTGTCAAGATACTGCATTTATTTTTCATCCTTAAAAAATCTATTCATCTTGCATAGCAAAGAATTAAAAATCCTGAGCTGCCTTGAACATTTTATAAGTGGAAATCATTTCCAGGAAGAAGTTAAATCATCTATCAACTGCATCTATCAATGGATTCACTTTAATCTTGCTCATCTTTTTCTCGTTCTTCTCTAGAGAAAGTGTTTACTTAGAAGAGGAAGATTGCATTTTCTGAGAAATGACTGTCGTTCTCAGTCTTGGTTTTGAAATGTAAATTTTAGTATTCCACAGGTAAAAATCAGAGCAGATACTGCATCTTACTGGCTTTATTCAAAATAACTTGATACCTGGGTAGAGTGGTGAAATAATACTGGCACAAAATACCCATGCTATTGTGAATCTCATCTCATTCAATTCTTGTCTTTTGTCTTTATCATCTTTGGGCTTGATGACAACACAGGTCTTTTGGGAATGTTTTGCCAGTTTTGGTCTTACTATGAACTGAAGTTCAGTGTAGGATTGAAAATGATGAAGTGATGGTGTTCCTGTTCGTGTGTCACCACTTGTTCACATCCATAAATCCTTTTGCTCAGCTTCCTACAATGAGATTCATTATGTAAATTGGTTTTTATTTGAGTACAGATAATACTGTCTCCAGGTGGGAAAAGTAAAATAGTGGGTTTTGGGTTTGTTTATTTGTTTAAAATATTAAGTTGTTAATTGGAGTCCTCTAAATAAATACAGGCAGAGACCGATGGGGTTCTTATATTTTGAAATTTCTTAATGCCTTAAGTTTTTGTGCTTTGCATTGCAGTTGTGCTTTGAGGAGAGAGACTTCAGAGTAGAGGGGAGTGTTGGGTTTGTTTGTTTTTCTTTTATCAAAACATACACTTAGAGGACAAAGCACAGCATGTCAAAGCACTGGAGAGAAGTTCAAACAAACACCTTGGATATAATTGCAGTCATTGCCATTGATTTTGGTAGTGTGGGATTCTGCCCCTGAAGGAAGAACACCAAGGGTTGTGAAGGGAAGGTATCTCTTAGCTGTCTTGCAGAGTGAAGTCTGCTAAGTTCACACAAATGACCAGACTGAAAGGGGTTTTAGTCCTCATTGTTTGGGCACGAGAAGCTGATGTGAGAAGATGTCCTTTCCTTCCACTGTGCTGTTCAAGGAGAAGTGCTGCAGTACACATGAGAGTGCTGAAACTCTCAACCTGTAATCTGCCCATGCCACTCTTAAGGATCAGCTGCTCTCTAATGTTTTTGTTCTCTCAGACTAGAGCTGTGAAAGGGAAAAAAAGAAAACACAGAAGTGCAACAGTGAATTTGTGTGGATTGATTTGTTTCAGATCCTCTTTTCAATCTTAGTTTCCTTGTTTTTGGCTAAAGGAGTGGTGAAATACGTATCATGGTGTTTTTCTCATCAGACATCCAGAAAGGTTATTTTTAGATCACTGTAGAGGAGAAACAGAGGCATGGCTTTGTTCCCAGTTCCTGCTTGGACTCTGGTACCATTTGCTCTTTAATTCCAGAAAGGGAATTAACCTTGAGCTCCTTAGCTGCCAGCATTGTTCTGTCTATTGGCTGAACTTGTGGTATCCTCAGATATGTTCTGTCATTTCATCTGTCTCCAGTGGAGATTTTTATTGCAAGGAGTAGATTGATGACCATGCTTGGTATCTGAAAAACGTATTTTGAGAATATATGTAGAATAGAATGCCAACAGGAAAAATCTGTTCTGTGTCATTGCAGAGGCAGATGCAGGTTTTTCATCTTTGTCCAGATCAAATCAAAATGACATTGTCTTGTTTCATACATTACTGCTCTTCAGTGACTGTCACTTTAGTGATTTTCCTCTGTCAGCAGATTTGGAGTTTGAAATAAAAATTTTGCAATAATTAACTACATCATGCTCAGTTCTCCAGCCTCCCCGTTCCCATGGCCATCCTAGTGAATGCTATTTCAAGAATTGGCTGTGGCTGGCAAATGAAAATACAGTTTAGATAGCGTTTTGTTTGTTGTTTGAAAAAGACATTCTAATGTACTTTTTACTGATAACATGAGGTTCATACTGGAGTCGTGTGTGCTATTTAATTTTCTAAATTGAATCACCAGGCTGGGCCAGAGAGGCACAATAACCGTTCCAGAAGGCACAGGTGTCATCTCTGTCTGTGGCAAATAACTGGGAAACAAACTGCACCTCTCAGATATAAGATGGTACTTTATGGTTTTACCCAGTTAACTTTCAGAACTAGTAGAGGTTTGTCTCTTACCAAGATACTGTAGGAGAAGGAATGCTTGTTAAAGGAGGAAATAAACCTGGGAACTATCCCTTATTTGTTGGCAGCTCCAAGTGTTTCCAAGGCTATAGGGATAACTACTGCATGTAGGTCCTTACAGATTCTCATAAACTTTATGCAAAGGATTCAATCTTAGATCAACTGGTGGAAGCCATCAGAGCTTTGTCAGCCCTGGATTTAGATGTGAGGTACAAATGAATGGAATAGACACTGGGTTAAGGTGAGAGGAGAAGAAACATCGAAGGTGCAGGACAGATTAATCAGATCTGCTTTTATTTAGCACTGTACCCATTCTGAAGGCTATGCTTCATATGAGCAGATAACTTCATATGAGTTATAGGAAATAGGGTGTTAAGGACTGTGGTGGATTCATTTATAAGTTAATCTAAGTGGATTCTGTGCAAGCAGTAGTCTGTCATCATGTAAATACAATTTATTACAGATGTGATATATATACATTCCCTCTTTATTAAAGAAAAAAAAAAAGGGGTTAGGGCATCTGTATTTTAATGTCATAACTCTGTATTCAAAAGAGTAGCTGTTTTTTCTACCATCTCTTTTTTTTTTTCCTTCCCTTTTTAGGATTGCCAAATGATTTGGCAATAGCAATCAGACCAACCATAACAAATTAAATTTTCCTGAAGTACATGCATTTGCATTTTGGAGTGCTTGGCTGTGCAGATTGATACTATGATTTTTGTCTGTAGTGTTTTGTGGTTTGTGTGTTGTTAGGTCTGCCTTCACACCCCTCAGTTCTTCTCAGTGCCATCTGATAGAGCTCTCTCAAATATTGGGGGAAAACACTCTGGGCAGAATCAGTGCTGCCTAACAAACCCAGAAGGAACTTGAGTGAAGGCAGTTAATGCTGTCACAATGATCAAGTAAATAAAGTGAC